AACATTATCGTAATTCACACAATACGTAAAAGGAAATATTCCAAATTAATACATCAACCAAAATCGCGCTCAACATTCGATGACACATAACATCCCATAGAAGATATACTAATATAAAAGAAAAGAAAAATATATATATGAAGGTCTTAAGTCTTGCAATCAAGTATACTAAATTGTTGATCATCGTTAAAAGTTTTCAACTTACAATTGAGATCAGAAAATCTAATATTTTAAAGCCATAACGAAAGGATAACTTAATTTTTATTATTATTACAAACTGTCGATTTAAGCCTGAAGCTCCCTGAAGGTGGGACTCACTAATGTGGGCGTCTTGGGAACGTTACTTTTGGCGCTATCAAGGACGATCTCCCGGCTACATCCGTGACGTCATGCCCTTTAGCCTTATCGCAATGGTATTTACGCTACGAGAATTTTAACATCCATAATATAACTACATTTATAACATCTAGTTTACACGTCGCACCGGTCAAACAGGATTTCGTGTACCAGTTTTGTATTCTTCTGTCGCATTTTATGCTTTGCTTATTATTGATAAACGTTGAAAGATAATGATGTTTGTCAAAACGTGATGCAGTGTGATATAAATAAATTCTATCGAATTCTTATTTGAAATTTGGTGTTTTTACATTGGTTGTTTTAATTTAACGAACACTTCATTACATCGCCCCAGACTTAGGGGCAACGTACAGCCGCCGCGGCGCCGTCGCAATAAACATGATATGCCAAATCCTCCTGATTCACCCTCGGATCGAACTCAACGAATGCGACGAAGAGTAAGAGATAACCCATAGATACAATCCACTGAGTTTCTCGCCGGAGCTTCTTCGTGAATCGCGATGCCGATCCGGTGGTAGATTCAATGAAGCACTACTTTTGCTAGGGCAAATGTTAGCTAACTCCCTCAGGGCTCGGACTGAGTCTCGTGGCTCAAGGTAGGGAAATAAACTTCATTACATAAATATATACATTGAATGTCGGCATACAAGTTCTGTGGGCGTAATGTGGGGGCGACGACGCGGTCGATTCGCTTGTATTACCACCCTTGACGTCCAATTATACTTATGTTCACACCCCTACTAGAACTAAGTTTTTTTTATTTATTGCTTAGATGGGTGGACGAGCTCACAGCCCACCTGCTGTTAAGTGGTTACTGAAGCCCATAGACATCTGCAACGTAAATGGGCCACCCACCTTGAGATATGAGTAAGGTCTGAGGTCTTATTATAGTTACAACGGCAGCCCCCACCTTCAAAGCGAAACGCATTACTGCTTCACGGCAGAAATAGGCAAGGCGGTAGTACCTAACCGTGCGGGCTCACAAGAGGTCCTACCACTAGTAAAACAGATAAACAGCTTTAAACAGAGATATGACAGCTTTTAGACTTTTCTTTCTGGCACGTTACGAACTGCAACTTTTTTTATTGCTTAGATCGGTGGCCGATATCACAGCCCACCTGGTGTTAAGTGGTTACAGAATCCCATAGACGACAAGGTAAATTCCGCCACCCATCTTAAGACATGAGTTTAACAGTCAGTTTTTACGGTACAGCGACTTTCACACCCTTCAAACGGGGTCATATTACTGCTTCACGGCAGAAACGGGCAGGGTAGTGGTACCCATGCGGGCTCACAAAATACTATACCACTAGTATTTACGCAAATTTTAAATTTTGCCAATTTGATTTTTATTACACGCCGTTCAGTGTCGAAATCAATCGTGAACATTTGTGAAGTGCGTATTTCATTTTTAAAATTGTACCTGACTGCGGTATTCGAACACGGGCACAGTCGCATCACTTGATACGAATGCATCGGGCGTTTTATCCTTTAAGCCACGACGATCTACATGTTAAATAATCTAAAATTAATAAAATGTAGTTGGTTTTTTTTTTGTATTTTCGTGCTCTATTCGTTCACGCATCTTTTATAAAATCGAGTGAATTATAGTAGTCGTGGAGTGTTGGAGAGGTGGAGTTGAGATTTTACAGTTTCTGCCAGAATAATTAGAATTAAATTTAGATTGTACATATAGTCACTCATTACAGTAGAAACCTATAAATTCTCTATAAAATCTCTTATAATTAAAGTTTGGTAAGTGCAATGTATATAATATTTGCGTAAACCATAGGCTAATTACTTTACTAATACTAACTGCCTTAATTGCCTGCGTGCCTTTGTCCTTTAAATCAATTGTCTTGTTACAATGTATTCTACAAGTTGTATAGTGTATTTAATGTCTATGTTAATGACCAATGTTACCGTTTCGATAATTGTGAGAACGTAAACATTTTTTTTTTAATTCTGAGACATTTTTACCTGCTCTCGTAACAATCCTTTGACGGTTTAAAAAAAATTGTTATTTGACGTATAAATGGATAAGAGATGCCGTTAGATCGTCTGGTTTAACAATGGGAGGCGCATGGCTTAGCGGTATGAACGCGCTATACGGTCACATTACATACGGCCACCATACTAACTCTATTTATAGACATAGCGTTTTCTTGTTCGTGAACCCGGTTGCACCATGCGTGCCTCGTAGAAGAAGTTGCCGGTTCGGTGTTGTGCACTTACCACTACAGTTTTTGTATAAGTAAAAATAAAAAACATAAATAAGTCAAAATCGTCGGTCTAAGGCCTAAGGGATAAACAATTTGGTTTTCTTACATCGAGTGAAATCGTTTTAGAACTCAGGTAATTTTTTAGTGTAAACAAATATATGTATTACATGGTAGTAAGTTTAGTGTCCCTAAATAACTTGAACGAGGAAGGATAACGTTTTGGAATAAAATGTAATATGCAAAAATAGTCATTACTATTGGTGATTGCGTCCTGTATTGTGAAATCACCATATTTACGTATTTATGCCGCGAAGTAGCTATGCGTTTCGTACAGGTACGAATCATCGTCTTACGTATTTATGCCGCGAAGCAGCCATGCGTTTCGTACAGGTACGAATCACCGTCTTACGTATTTATGCCGCGAAGCAGCCATGCGTTTCGTACAGGTAGGAATCATCGTCTTACGTATTTATGCCGCGAAGCAGCGATGCGTTTCGTACAGGTAGTTATCATCGTCTTACGTATTTGTGCCGCGAAGCAGCCATGCGTTTCGTACAGGTAGGAATCATCGTCTTACGTATTTATGCCGCGAAACAGCCATGCGTTTCGTACAGGTAGGAATCATCGTCTTACGTATTTATGCCGCGAAGCCGCCAAGCGTTCCGGTTTGATGGGTGGGACAGCCGTTATAAAATATAATAGAGACATCGACCTAAATGTCTCAAGGTTGGTGCCCGCGGCATTTGCGTTGTAACTAACCTAACTATGGCGCGAGTGTCTCGATATCGTAGCTAAAGCACTTACTCGTCGACCAACATTAACAGATGATGAAGTTGTTTAAAAACATTGGAATTTGATTGATCGCGGAGTTCATATTTCGATATCGTGATTATTGAATAACTAATGAATAATACGACAGGACTTTAGAGTCATACTATATATTAGCAGTCATCTGGTCGTTGATCTTTGATAGTGTAACGTTACCCTTATGGAAAACAACGAAATCGCGGGTGCAAGCGGACCGGTGCGTGGTCGCCTGTGTTCTAAACTGGTTTGCGGGGCGACCAGTCGAGACGAGCCCCGAGCCTGATGATGTGTTCACCTCTTGCATTGAATGGCATCTGTCACAGTCTTATGTCGGCTTCAATGAACACAATGCAATCATCGACCAATAATAACATTATAAAAAAACTAACAAAATACGCTTTTATAGAAAATCCAACTAAAAAATAGAAAATAAAATTTAATAAATTTGAATTAAAAATAGTGTAAGAAAAAATGATTTTATTGTAAAAAAGCGTGGGGTGGTTTTCCGATTTTTTCTTTTCATTTTTTAGTTGAATTTCAATTTTTTAATTTTTTTTTAATACTTGTATACTTAATAAGTATACAAAATTTCGAATTAATCCGACGTTTGGAGGGGGTCCGTTCCAAACATATTCCGTTACAAACATACATACGTCTGAAGCTATTAAAAGCGTATTTAAATACTATGTTGTTGATATTTGGTGTTGTTGGCGCTGTTGTATAAGTGAGTCTATCCGCGACCATGGTACTTCCAATAGCGTTGAAATATCTTGAACGAACTAAAACCAAACAACCTATCAAATAATATCATTGGAAATATCGGCATTTAAAAAAACAATTCGCAATACCATTTTAGTTTAGATAATTCACAAAGAAAACTAAAAGCAACCAATGTATTTAATGTATGTGTTTAATAAAAATAATTTCCAGTTATGCTGAATAACCTTCGCAAGTGATGTTGAATATACCAGTAGCCATTGAACTGTATTTAAAAAAAAATGCTTAAACATAGAAGACTAATATTCATTAAATTGATAATAATATGGTCATTAAATTTATTGGACTTAAAAAAAACCTATTTATTTCGATTTAATATTGGATACGATTACGATTTTAAAATTGAAATAAAACGTTATCATAAATGTATATCTAATATAGGTTCATACCAATAAGTGAGACTAATAATTAGAAACAATAATGCTCTACTATCGTAATTTTTACATAATTTTCAATGCATGGGAGGTACGTAACGAAGGAAATCCGAAAAGTGCTGTAATTATAGGCGAAGAATGGGACTAGCTGCTCTAGTATACAGTGTGCTTAGTGCGAGTTTCTTAACGTGCTCGATAGCGTAAAAGTTAAAGCAATTTAGTATGCAGTTAGAACAGCGCCCCTAGCGGCAAACGTAGGCAAACGATCCCATTCCACACAAATATGAGCTAACTTTTACGCTATCGAGAACATTAAAAGACTCGCACTAAGCACATTGATATTTATCACACGACATTGACTGCCGATTTTATAATGTATTAATATCTGTTATAAAGGTAGTTGTAAAATTAAAAGTGTATGATGAGTCGAAGAACCGGTTTATCATGAGCGTTTGGTCGTCAGGTGTCGGCGGCGCAGCACATGCAAGTGAGCGGCGCGGGGGGCGGCGGGCACGTGTCAGTGGCTGCCCAGCAGGGCATGTACGCCAGTTTCCAGCACCAGGGCGCTCCGCCCCAGCAACACCATCAAGGTGACTATTATTAATTTATGTAATAGGTACCTATTTAAATTTGATTTAACGAACACATACAAAATCGTTTCTTGAGTCACCTACGAAACTTGAAGCGTGTTAACTGGTACTCATATGAGACGGCCCCCTGTAATATATTACAATACTTAAGAACATGTTTTTGCCAATGACAAGAGATTTTTATTGTAAGTTTCATAATATGTAAGTAGATTTTTTGGGTAAATATTTATGGCAATTGTGTTTTAATTAATCGCGAGAATGTGTTTGTGTGATAAGTACCAACCATCAAGCATCCAATACTAATTTGGAAACTATTGTAAAATTACAATGAAGGTAAAGTAAATTATGTGAATCGATCAAATATTAGGTTCATTTATCTTGGCATATCAGGTAGATTGATTTGTTCATGTTTTTTTTTTATTTCACGTTTTTTATTATTTTAGTTGTTTTAGCATTAAGCTATGTATTTCATGGTAACGACAAATTCTTCTTTTGTTCTCGTATATAGCACATGTTGTAAGTATGCCGATGCCATTCGAATTTTGTATACACCAAAAAGATGATCAAAACACCGGCCGGATATTTACAAACGATAAATCGTTGAATGAATTGAGAAGTCATTGTGACGCGCGCTTAACATAACGCGTTCAACCTGCGGCCCGCCGTAATAATTAACGACGCCATTTTCACACTATCAAAAACAAAGAAATACATTGCGTGTTTATTTTCATAACGGCCGCGTTCCGTTGAATACTTTTCGCATTAGTTAAGGTTCCAATAGGACCCCTATGCCGTTGCAATAACAACACTGCGTTTTGCATTTCGTTGTGGTGAATGGTGTGTGGTGGGAGATCGCGCCCGAGGTTGATGATCCGCGAGATTCCGCGCACCTCTTTCGACGATTACATGTTTTTATAACTGATTAATGTGTTGTTTACTACTGCATTGAAGACGAATGACTCTGACACAAAAATAAATGTATTCTGCAACAAAAAGGGTGCGTGTACTTTATGTACGTGCGTAAGAAGTTATACTTTATTTTTATTAAATGTATTTCTTTTTTTTTATTTAAATATTATCAATTTGAAAAAAAAATCGATTAAACAACAACCTCAAACACGCATATTGGACATCCCTCTTCTTGACATCGTATAAATTCGGTAATTCTCGGTACGGTTCGGAAAGTTCACCTGCGGCTATATTCAGACTCGCCAAGTTACGTCGGTCGTATTGTAATGAGCGATTTAGTGGGCAACTTCATTCTGTTAATTTTCTGTCACGGTGCGCGCGCATCGTAAAATTTCACTCTCATCAATTTTTCACAACGCGCCTAAAGAAGTATAACTTCAATAAGAGAACCATACAATATTAGTCTAGCGTTCTACTGCAATCACTGGTGCTAGCAATTATCTTTAAATTAGGTAAATTGATCAGAAATACGTTAGGTAATTACGTGAGCCGTGTACTTCAAACATTTATATTTCTTTTATTGTTACCATCTAATCTCAGAATACGCAAATGTAATAATAAATTTAAAACGGTGTAGTTACACATATAACTTGTTGATGAAGAAACAAAACGAAATGTTTTGGTTTTTTAAGCTACTGCATAGCTTCTATCGCGGGCCTTGAGCGCGGCGACTGAATCAAGAAATTCCGTAACGAAAATAACCTGACACCCCCACTACGCCTACTATGTAGCTCGCGTTGTAGTGTTTGTGAATAAGCGCGCGGCGTGACGTCGCACTGCATGAGCATCATGTAAAGTCTGACCATCTCTCTCTCACGCGGTCTAGCTTATGAGTGTGAAGGGGACAGTTAATGTTTTGCTTTTGTTAATGTTTATAAATATAGCGTGGTCTTATTTTTATTATTGTTTTAATATTAAATTATTATTGTCTAAGCGTAATTGTATAAGTTGATAAAAAATGCTTTGCAATAGCTTTACCGCGGCAGTCCCCGAGTGCCACACGTCTTTTTTTTTTATAATTCTAATCATGGTATCAATCTCGTGGATGTGAAAAAATAGTACAGTACCCTATTTTCAGCCTAAACAGTAAATATTCCGTCGGAATCGTGAGCAATGTTGACATATACTACTTACGTCATACTATGTTAAAATTCATATCGTATTACCTGTATACATAAGATTGCAGATAACCTCATCTCTGTTTGATGCGTGTAACACTGTTTTGGAATATTTCACCGGCTACTTTCACTTTTAATTTTATTTGCACAATAGTCACGGAGCTTGAATATCTCCGTAGGTATCCATGTCACATGTTAATTAACTGCGATCATTATTCTCACGCTGTCGAGATTTTATTGTCTCCGATAAAGGACACTGTTGCGTTTTAATGTTATTAAAATAACAGCTTACAATTATACGAACATGTTATTTAAAACGTACGGAAATATTCGGCAATTGTGCTATTTGCAAATTCAAAAGTTTACAATGAAATATTAATTAGTTGGGTCGTTAATATTCTTCTACGTCTTGTTTCGATCATAGAATAGCCGTTCCTCATATTTTTAATGTCCCAAATTGATCGATATCATTTACGTACGTTGTGTTAGGACCTCTTGTGAGTCCGCACGGGTAGGTACCACCGCCCTGCCTATTTCTGCCGTGAAGCAGTAATGCGTTTCGGTTTGAAGGGCAGGGCAGCCGTTGTAACTATACTGAGACCTTAGAACTTATATCTCAATGGGTGGGTGGCGGCATTTACGTTGTAGATATCTATGGGCTCCGGTAACCGCTTAACACCAGGTGCACCGTAAGCTCGTGTACCCAGCTAAGCAATCTTCTTCTTAATCTTCTATCCTCTTCTTCTATCTTCTTCTTCTATATATATATAAAAATGAATTGCTGTTCGTTAGTCTCGCTAAAACTCGAGAACGGCTGGACCGATTTAGCTAATTTTGGTCTTGAATTATTTGTGGAAGTCCAGAGAAGGTTTAAAATGTAGATGATAAGAAAACGCTCGGAATTAAATAAAAATAACAATTTTGTTTTTCCTTTGATATGTCCCCCGTCCCCGTCGGACGGATTCCTTTTGTTTGTTTTAAGTTTATTTTATACAAAAGATTAGGTCTTTTATTTATCTATTGAGGCACTACGAAGTCTGCCGGGTCAGCTAGTATATATATTATATACTTTAGGAACTACAAAACATAATAATTTGGACAATTTCTTTGACTACATTTTCAGGTAATGGCTGCGATTCGTATTCAATGTCACAATCGCAGAGCATCAATTTCTCGCAAGCGATGAGAGCGAGGCAGCCTAGCGCCGCCCAGCAGAACTCCACGCCCGGTCCTGGCCCAACACCGCTCGGTAACACATCATAACAATTCCCTCTACAATTTAATTTCAATAATCGTTAAAATATTGTAGCTCAGATAAAGTCATAATAACGATATTCATTTCTATATAATTACATATTATAACTTCGATTCGTTCTCTATCAGAGGTCGAAAAGATCGTCACCCAAGCATGGGACGAAGATAACTCTATAACCAATTTTTTTCTTTGCAAATTATGTCGCATTCATACAATTGGAGTGGATTGATTGCGAAATATACAATGGTTGTTCGGATATGTCAAATTAGATTGTTTTTTTTTTGTTGTAACCTATATGACTAGTACAAATCTATTAGTTTGGACGTTAGTTTAACTAGAGCGATGTCTTTGATGCAACGTCAATGTACGGAATCCAATTGAAGACGTTTCTTCTCAACAACCATCATTTATTAAATTGTAATGAATTTTGAGTGAACTTAATCTGCAGCACAATTAATATGCACATTTAATGAGTATAATAAATATTATATATATCTTGTATTGTATAATCGAGTTATAAGTATGGTAGGCGTTTCGGTTTGAAGGGTGGTGCAGTCGTTGTAACTATACTGAGACCTTAGAACTTATATCTTAAGGTGGTTGGCGCATTTCCGTTGTATAATAGATGTCTATGGTCTCCAGTAACTACTTAACACCAGGTGGGCTGTGAGCTCGTCAACCCATCTAAGCAATAAAAAAAACTTGTTTGTTTTATGTACATCAGGAGTAGCAGCAGCGGGTATATCGCGCGAGCAACAAGCCAAAATGCTGCAGCAACAGCAACAACAGATGCTGCGCGCCCAACAGCAGCAGATGAGGCCGCCACCGCCGGAATACAAGGCGCGGTACGGCGGCGTGGGTGGCGCCGTGGGGGGTTCGGTTGGGGGGCCAGTGGGGGGCGCGGTGGGGGGCATGCGTCGTGCGGCGCCGCGCCCCTACCCGCAACACCCGCGCCAGTACTCGCCCGAGTGGAGGCACGTGCTCATGCAGCAGCAGGCTGCATCCAGACAACAGTTCCCTCATCATCACCAAGGTAGTTTTTTTATTGCCATACCCAAAAATAACATGGCAGTATGAAACTAATTAGATATCTGGATGTAACTTTCACCAAAGCCAAAAATCGTTTTCGAGGAAATTCAAATTATTAGATAATTAGAAAGTTAAATAAGACATAGAATATTTTTAATAATAATTTTTGATTTAATTTGAAACTGAACGGTATTATTCATTGCCCCATGAGCATACCCTTATGCAATAAAACAAGTTGTAAACGTTAATTTAAATAAGTAGGCAATTACAAATCAGCAAATTACTTCACTTCACTTCCGTACGCGTTTCGTTTGATAGCTCCAATTTTTAGCTTGTAGGAAGCGGTTGATCCTTATGGCCCGAACGCTTCAGTAAGATAAGGGTCACCGGTGAGCACCATGGCCCTCCGGTCACCGTCCCCGTCGAACCCGTCGCTTGCGACGAAGGGCTGAACGAGTAAGCTAACCCACAGACACAGCCCACTGAGTTTCTCGCCGGATCTTCTCAGTGAGTCGCGTTTCCGATCCGGTGGTAGATTCTGGGAAGCACTGCTCTTGCTAGAGTTCGTGTTAGCAACAACGTCAGGTTTGAACCCTGTGAGCTCACCTACTAGTTCGGTGAATCTAGAATAACCCCTCGAGGTTACAAGAATAGATAGGAAAAAAAACCGTGGCCTGAATGAAAATACTCGATTTTTCATGTGGCGTTCAATGTGTTAAATCGTTACTTATCTTCGTAGGTTTCGGCATGGGCGGTGGCATGGGCGGCGGCATCACCCAGCAACAGCAGCAACAGATGCAGCTGCAGCAGGCGCGCTTGCAACAACAACAGCTCATGCAGCATCAGCAGCAGAGGTCCGTTTCTTTAACACATTTAATGCCAACCGCACGGCGCCGTGAAGGAGTTGGGGACCGGACAAACGGCGCCGGGGCTTGTAATTATGTTATTTTTTATGCAGCAGTATGTACCGTTTCCACCGTTGTGTTGATAACTTTACATGACGCACGTGGTCATATTATGCGTAAACTAGCGATCTGATAATATCAAGTGTTGGATTAGGGTTCACGCTATTCATCTAAATATATTGATCAATGCACGCACCACGGCGGCGCCGTCAGTCCGGACCCTCGACCCTCCACAGCGGAGTGGGTTCGGCATTAATCAGTTCGGAATTTCAGTCACTGCCAAAAACTTGTTTAGATACAAGATCATGTATTTTTTTTATTTCTTAGATGGGTGGACGAGCTCACAGCCCACCTGGTGTTATGTGGTTACTGGAGCCCATAGACATCTACAACGTAAATGCGCCACTCACCTTTAGATATAGTTCTAAGGTCTCAGTATGGTTACAACGGCTGCCCCACCCTTCAAACCGAAACGCATTACTGCTTCACGGTAGAAATAGGTGGGGCGGTGGTACCTACCCGTGCGGACTCATAAGAAGTCCTACCACCAGTACCATCTATTGGTGGATAATTATTTCTATTGATACATATAAAACAGAATTGTGATTTAAGTTTAAAATAACTGATTTAGTTGTACAGTAATTAGCACCCCTGACTGTTGCGCCCGAGGGTCGTGGGTTCGATTCCCACATTGGGCAAATAATCGTGTCGGATTTGTTTGCTCTTTGTCTGGCTGCTTATTATCTAAATATGTATATATTTAAACGTATATAAGTGTGTATGTCAGTCTCTGGTACAATTTGGGGTCGAATAGCCGTGCGTTATTTGTTCCCAGTTACTATTATTATTATTATAAATAGCTTGCAATCTAAGTTGGTGAAGCTGGCGATTTAAATTTGTAGGAAATTGTTAGCCCTAAAAACCGTGAAGATTCAATGAGAAAATAAAAACCTGTTACATTAGTTTCTTCATTCCTAATTTAACATGGTTTGTTTCTTTGTAGTCCTTTATTTGTTTTAATGTTACAATATTGTTTCAGGACTTCAAGCCAACAGTCACCTATGTCCCATCTCATTATGCAACAAAACCAAATGATGAGCGTGCAAGGACAGGTCAGTTGAAGCAATGACTCAGGTCCCAATCACTATGTTCCTATTGGTTGACCCGAAGTAACGGAATGAACTGTTTTTACAGATACCAAACATCCACATGAGCCAGTCTCAAAATATGTCGATGCAGCAGGGCGGGCTGGGAGGCATGGGCGGCCACCAGGGCAACCCCATGCACGCCCAGACCGGCCCCATGCCGACCTCGATGATGGCCCAGAACGGTCCCGTGCAGACACAGGCCAACGGACCTCAACATTCGTTTCCCTCACTCCACAACACGTCTTCCTTCGCGGGACAAACTGCAGACTTCAACCTGGACTTCCTCGACAACATGCCTTCCACTGACGCGAGCAACATCACGGCCCAAGAGCTGCTCAACTCTATAGACAATTCGTTTTTGAACGACATCCTTTAAGTCGTGTCCGCGTGCCCCCCCCAACGCCCCGACCCCCGCGGCTCGTGGCGGCGCGGCTCGCTATGCGTTCGGAAACTGACCAATTCGAAATGTGACCAAAGTAATGAAATAGAATTTAACCGCCAGCTTTCGGCTGGAGCGACGTTACCGGAGAGCCGGCGACATTAATATCTCGATGTATCATGTCTTGGACCATGTTCTTTGTAGACTTTTTACTGTAAAAACATCTTTGCTTAGTATTTATGACTATTATTATTGTAAGTAGTTNCGCTATGCGTTCGGAAACTGACCAATTCGAAATGTGACCAAAGTAATGAAATAGAATTTAACCGCCAGCTTTCGGCTGGAGCGACGTTACCGGAGAGCCGGCGACATTAATATCTCGATGTATCATGTCTTGGACCATGTTCTTTGTAGACTTTTTACTGTAAAAACATCTTTGCTTAGTATTTATGACTATTATTATTGTAAGTAGTTCTTTTACGTGTAATCGATCGTTCGTTCGACGTAGTGGTAGGGACGTAACTATCAACGTTAGACTTATACATTCTCCTTTAATCTAAATCTTTATTTTAGCTGCAGAGTAGCATAATGTATATTTATTACAGAATATATTATGTAGTTTTTAAGGAGATAGCACAAAAGACACTTCCCTATTTTATTATTTGTTAAATTATTTATCAATGAACTCAGATCGACGGGGCAATACTTCGAAGTCTTCATTTCGGAAATCTCGTGTTGAATGTTTTATTTATTTTCTTATGATTGGGACTTCCATTCGTTGCTTCCTCGGGGCTATCACAAATTTTCGAATCGAGTTTGTTGCGAGTGTTATGCGAATAGAGTTGCATTCGGAAAGTGACCGATAGTGATGTCAGTACTATGTGATCTATCATTCTAAAATGCTTTTCACTATGGCTGAATATTGATACTACTGAAAATATCGATTTACATGTTGTCGAGGTAGAGAAGCGGTACAAAGCTTTACATTTGTCTGATTTAAAAAAAACATATTTTTTTTGTTAAATATAATTTTTCTTAGTTTCGCTGGTTTAAAGTGTTTAAACACATTCACCTAACATAAGACACGATGGTTTTAATTTAAAAATTGATTTAAAAAAAAAAAACGAATCAGCCTTATTGCATATGACAATGCTGAACATTTTCTTTATACCATTTTTTTAATAGCGTAACGCATAGCGTGTTATTGTACAAAAAAATATTCTCGGAAATAGTATATATTTTTTTCATAAAGGCTCTTACTTACCTGTGTCCTTTTCTGTAACCAAGACAAAGTGTATGCATAATTAGACTAATATGGGTTAAGCAGCTAAAATGTGTAAGCGAAATCCACTTTCACAATTTATAATATTACAGTGTCTATGTATTTTATAATTAAAAAACAAAAAAAAAACGTTACAACATTAAGCAACTGTAACTGTGACTGTGCTTAAAACATAAAAAATCTATTTCCCGATTTTTTAGATATTGATCAGTACTGACAGTTCTGTAATTTCTGAATGCGCTCTCGATATGGCCACTGAGTTTCCTCTGAAGCCGCAGCCGTGTAGTCAGGATCGGTTGGAATGACGTATGATATTAGTTAAGTTGAAAATGTTACGAGATGTTTGTGTGAGAGAGTGAAGCAGTCACGTTTGTATCCGCCTCAAAACGACCCGACTTTTATTTTATAGTGCAAATTGTAAATTTATATTGGAGGATTTTTATCATTCCTGTACCTAAGATATAATAGTAGATTATACTGTGATGTCGGTCTCAACGGTCAATAGGTGAATATAGTATCAATTATTATAATAAATATTTGTTAATTGTTAAGGATCTCATTGTATCATTTTAGATTGGGGTTTTAAGGGATTCCGGGAATAGCAGACCGTTATGTCGTTTTAATAGTATTCTTTGAATGATGCGACTTCGGGTCACGCGAGAATGGAATGTCAAGTGTTTTAGTATATTTCGAAATATACTTGTATTTGTCTTGTGTAAATAATTTGTGATGGGGTTGTTAAACAACTTGTTCTAAATGAATTGTATCTAAATATTATTATTGTTTGTGAAATTAATTATAAATTAAACAAAATACTTCAGCTCTCTGTATGTAGTAGATAAAAGAATCCACAGCTAAACCAATTATTGTGAATGACAGTAACATTCCAGAGCCATTGTTAACAATGTTTTAACTTTAGGACCAATTTTTGAATGTTCTTTTGAAAATAATATTGCATATTGAACGAAAATTCTTTTATTTTACTGTAAAATTAAATTAATACCATAATCTTATACACTTTATCGGAATCAGTTGGAGTAAACACTTCAGAGTACATAAATTTATANAACCAATTATTGTGAATGACAGTAACATTCCAGAGCCATTGTTAACAATGTTTTAACTTTAGGACCAATTTTTGAATGTTCTTTTGAAAATAATATTGCATATTGAACGAAAATTCTTTTATTTTACTGTAAAATTAAATTAATACCATAATCTTATACACTTTATCGGAATCAGTTGGAGTAAACACTTCAGAGTACACAAATTTATAAATTACAACATATTCCCATGATGGGATTTATTACTAAACATTATTACTAAATTAGTAACACTTAATTACTCCCATGATAGGTGATCGGTGGTTTATAAATTGATAGACAAGATTTTTTTAATGAAGCTTTAATTCAGATCGCCGTTACTAGAACGCATCGCTTGGCCTCATGTCTTCAGTAAGCCCATAGACACAGCACACTGAGTTTCTCGCCGGATCTTCTCAGTAGATCGCGTTTCTGATCCGGTGGTAGATTCTGCGAAGCACTGCTCTTGCTAGGGCCAGTGTTAGCAACACTCCGGTTAAAATCCCGTGAGCTCACCTACATGTTAAGGCAAAGCTGAAATTGCCTCTCAAGGCTATCAGCATAGGTAGGAAAAAAAATGTCTTCAGTCGACTGACGGCCTCAGCGTTGTGTGGTGTTTGTGTGCTTTGGTAATACCGGGTGAGACGTGACCTCGTATGGCCACCCTACAAAAATATTTTTGGAACATATCCAATTGAAAGTTTTTCCTTTTCGTTGAGCTATATCTGATTTCACTAATCCTTTCTAAGAGACTTTTCTTCTCGTTAAGCATCCAATGCACAACATTTACGTGTCAACACTCCTCCACGCGCAGAGGCGGATTTATCAACGGTGCAGAGTGTGGTCGCAGCAGTGTTAGGGGACGCCTCGGGACTTTCAATGAATCTATTAAAGTACTTATTCCATTTTGATCGCTCGCTCACTAGAGGGCGCTAGGGTTATGATTTGACACGTGCTTGAGACGCTTTTAGCCACGAGACAGGCGAGGAAAGCTATAAGTATTTATATAATTAGATAAATATGTAGGAAATTTTCTTAAAACATCACTGCATTGTTAGATAAAAAAGGCGGTATTTATGTGATTGTACGTCATAAAAAAAGCTTTACAAAATATAAAATTTGAATTCTGTTTTGAATTAGATTATGTAATGTTCATCATAATATGGCACTTTAGGTATTCGTTCGTCGTGCAATCTTCAGTTCACCACATAATAGAGTCAGCCTGGTGTTTATGCAGACAATCGGAGAACTTCTCCAATTTCAACTCTAAAGCGTTTATCTCCAAGGCTAATTCTCATATAATTTCGTTCGGTTTGCTCGTAAAAATACGAGGGTTTCGAACTCTTGGACTATAATAATTATCCGGCTGGATATATTTGGCTGTGATGTGGTCTTCGCGAACTCCCGGACTGTACATATTTTCATTCGTTGCGTGATCAATGGATTTAACTGTAACTGTATGTAGTACTTGTCTCCTTTGACGGAGTCGGATACACGAAAATACAGTGCTTAATAAAACTCCCAGCTTGAATACAGCAAATATAAAGATGCTAAGCATGAGGACAAAATATTGTTTCTGGTACCACTCTTCAAGTTTACCGATACATCCCTGGAACAGAACAACAATTACGTTCGTAAAAATGAAATTTAATGTTTTAATTCGTCGTCGAGCCATGCACATGTATAGTCACAACACTTGGTCACTGTGTACAGTTAGCTGCAAAAGTGCACGAATAGAATGACAAAAACAAATTTTCAGCTTAAAATATAGCTTAAGTACTTTCACGGTTTTTTTTTTGAGTTGTATGAAATCGCCGGACTTCCCCCCTCCACTGAGGATGGCGGGCGAGGCATGTCGGAGTCGAGCCGACGAAAAATCTTCTGTCGCTCAACAACCCACGTCTGAACCTCGCATGAGACAGAACTCATGAAAAGGCGAAGGGGAAAAGTGAAGCGTTTAGTGCGGAGCACATCTCTCCCATCACCCTAACTTTCATGGTACCTACATTATGATTCCACTAAATGGTGTTCCGCAACCATGGAATGTCAATAATAAAAGTATTGAGAATTTATATTTAATCGCCGTAATTTTAGAAATTAAGGTATCTGTCCGTGTAATTTTACAGCTGAACGTTCACAGCGTGTAGGTAGTGTGCAAAGAAGTGTTTACGATTGGCGTTGGTTACATTTATTCCGCTATCTCATCTGGCAGAGTGAACTCACCGGAACATGTCGATAAACAGGGTTAGGTTGATACTCCTGACAGCGCGATAAATTGACCGGCATCGGGTTCAGATACGAGATGTTCTCTTCGATTTGCACGCAGCAACTCAACGGTACGGCCATTCCGCGCGGACCCAGCCTCCTCAGTTGCCATACGGACATGTCGTAGTTTCGAGCATCTGTCATGCCGCAACACTGCAACTGTCAAAGCATTTATTTCATGTTTAATTCATGGTGTGCTCTTCGGACTCATCTGCAACTTCAGCAATGTACTGAATATACATCAGTACTGATTAGTAAATCTGTGTATTCGAAAAAACAAGCTATTTGTTGCTGCATTGGTTTTTTATAATAGTATGTTATATGTACGATGGTAGATTGTCGTAAAATTAAAACTTTCTATCCATGTCAGTACCATACTATTTGATATCAAAATATGATGTAACTATTCCCAGGTTTAACCGAAAAGACTTGTTTGCTTTTTAAATGTGTAGTGCGTACTGACAATAAACCAGGTATTCGTTACTGGAGTCTAAAGTTATCTCAAGGTAACTTATTAACAAGACAGTCAGTATTTCTATGAAGACTGAACATTACGAGACAAGATTGCTTTACTGCAAAAATAGGCAGACTGGTTTTACCCGTCGGCAAAATACCAGTAAAGAAATAGGCAAAAGGGTACAATACATCCTTGAAATTTACATTGATCATTTGGAGATCAATGGGAACAAACGTTTTGTTAAGTCTACCATATTCCAATCATTTTTATTAACCTCTGTTTGCGCTAAATCCACAGAGGCAGTGAATTGTTCAAAATCGGGCATAGCATAATAGCTTTGCAGAGCTCCGACAGAGCCCCCTCGTGCGTTTTCAAGTCCTAGACATCGCGGCCATACTGCAGCTAAAACTCCTCCAGCACACTCGCACAATAGCAAAGAGAGAACAATTAAGAAGTACTGAAATAAAAAGAATTTTTGTTAGAGTGGTGTCTAGCAGACTAGTAAGTAATTAATTTTATTATAAACTAGCGGCCCGCTCCGGCTCCGCTCGGGTCTTTAACATAAATTTCAACGATATTTGACGTTGTTTTATTTTTTAAAATAAAAGAACACTTATTGCGGCATAGCTATAATAGTTAGATATATGCTGTCGCGACACTTTTTGTAAATAATAATGTGTTCTACAAAGTCGTAATACATTATTTTATTCTATCATCAATAGTTTTCGCAGGGCACGCGATGTAAAGAATATATAAGTAATTTTTTTACACCTTGAGTTATTGGAGTTTTAGTAAGGATCCCTAATTTTTTACAAAAAATATTATAGCCTATGTCACTCGGGAATAGTGTAGCTTCCAAACAGTGAAAGAATTTTTCAAATCGGTTCAGTAGTTTCGGAGCCTATTCAATACAAACAAACAAACAAATCTTTCCTCTTTATAATATTAGTATACTTAGTCTGGCCATAAATACTGTTACAAAGGAAAACAAAACAAAATCTATGGCAAATAACATTTATTACTTTTACAGTGTGTTAGTTTAATACATAAATATAAAACAATTTAAAGCAAAAAAAGCTTATTCGAAGTGGTCTCCATTGGCTGCAATACAGTCCTTTAAACGTTGAGGCCAGTTATCAATAGAAGCACGCACTCTTTCCATGGGAAAATTTTTCACTGCCAATCGTACGGATTGTTTTAGGGACTCCAAATTATCATAGCGTTTAGAGCAAGCCGTACTCTCTAAAACTGACCATAAATCATAATCCAGCGGATTAAGATCGGAACTAGACGACGGCCAGTCTTCAGCTCTGATGAAGTCCGAAACGTTCGTTTCCAACCAAGACTGCGTAGACCGAGCTTTATGACCTGGCGCCGAGTCTTGCTGGAAGGACCATTCTTGATTATTGAACATGGTGTTGTTAAAGGGCTTCACTACCTTCTCAAGAATGGTATCTTGATACACTTGTGCCGATGTTTTGATACCTTTTTCACAAAAGTATGGCTCAGTCACTCCTTCATAACTAATACCCCACCAAACCATCACTGAAGTCGGATAATGCCCACGTTGCACTCTGTCGACTAATTGGGAAGCTTTCTTAGAGCTTTGAGCATAAATACGGTCATTTTGTTTCTTAAAATGTTGCTCAATTGTAAAAAATTTCTCATCCGTAAGTAAACAAAATTTTTCTATGACCTCCCTTTGCGTACGTCTTCAGTAGTTGTTTCGATTTTACCACCTTTTTCTCTTTTAAATTATCAGTTAAGAAATGACCAGTACGTCTCTTATAGGTTGCAAGTCCTAAGTCATCTTTTAAAATACGCGACATGGTACTAGGTGCTATCTTCATCTCCCGAGATAAAATCTTTTGCTTTCGGACAGGATTTCTTCGAATTCGTTCCCATACTGCTTTGACCACCTTTTTCGTACGAACACTACGTGGACGGCCAGATCTTTTTCTGTCACAAACAGAGGAGGTCTCATTGCACCTATTAATAGCCCGGTACACAAACATTTTACTAATACCACGCGTATGGAGATTTTTAAAAAATGCATTTGGCTCCATACCTACTTTGTGTAATGCAATCACAGCGATTCGGTTCTCTTTATCACCCCACTCCATTTTAATATCGCAATTTAATATTGGCGCCAAAATGAGAAAACGCAATGAGCAATCATATAAAAATGACAGATTCCAAATTTAAATGTAATATTTTGTTTATTTTTAATTGTAACAGTATTTATGGCCAGACTAAGTAGACTGTGTGCATCGCATTATTTATAAAATACACCCATTATTTACGACCGCTCGTACGCCACTTATTTTGAGTTCAGTACTCCCAGTCTTAACATCTTTAGAGCAGCTGATCACTGATATGATGATCCGTCAAAAGCTCGGTTAACTGTTATGAACTAAGCGTGGGATCGCATTCTTTGGTGATAACGGTGACCTTTGATTTGGCACTTAACAATGTTAGTAATAGCGTCAACAGCACCGGGAGTGGATCGGGTGCTTTCGTCCGAATGTGTCTAAGGTGACGTCGGTGGTTGACTGCTGCGTAACTCGGATAAGATAAAAAAACGTGCCCACACTTCCTTCTCAAACTTATGTCCTTTCGTGGGGCGTCTACAACCGTACCAACAACCGTTTCAACTATTTTTACTTAAAGTAAAATGTCAATTTTATAAACTTACGACACTTAAAGCTGCATATCCGGGTAAATAGGTTGCCCAGCATCCAAGAGCAGCCGTCGCACACATGGTGAGGCCTGCTGCCATTAGAACCAGAGCCAAGTAGTAAAATGGCGGGTGAGCCAAATTACTTTCCGGGGAAGCCAGCAACCGCGACAATAATATTTTTTTTGAATCGCACAGTAGCAGGAAACCACAGACAACTTCAAGAAATCCGCATGTCTTTAAACGAAAAAAGGTAAACTTTATTTTTTTGTTCACTAATGTCGTACAATTTACATAAGATTATTATTATGTCAAACAATTTCTCAGAGAACTAGAGAGTGGAACGGTACTAAACAGAGAGAACCGATGTTTCTTCATAGAACCGGAGGTTCCAAGCGATTCCAGAGAACGGGATTGTTGACAATTCGAACGGCCCTTTGTTGTATGGAGTCAAACGGAAAGAGCTGGTATTTGGGAGCAGCAATATTCTATGCGAGGCCAAACTTGTAATTTCTACTTCTCTTACTTCTTACTCTATGGTCTTTGTCTAGGCGGGCAGTACCGCTTCGGCTACTTCAAGATGAATCTCTCCTAACCTTTAGATGCAGACTTGGATTTACCTTCTAAAGAAGTCCGATGTCTACTGAACATCGCTCAAATGTTATCACAAGAATCCCAGTACTCACAGAAGGTGACAGGGATCCCCATTAAAATTGCGGCGTAATAACAAAAAGGCCCTTCTTGGTTGAGAATGCGCAAGAGTGCGTCTTCAAATATATATTTTTTGTTTCTTTTAATTACACGAATAAGACAGACTTTATTTGGAAAAGCATTTTAATCATCTACTACATTGAATTCTAAGGAATTTTTCTTCATACATCTTTTTTTTTAAATACGGGTCATTTGACCCTTTTACGGTTAGATTAAGCACATACACATATATGAAATGTCGGTAGGTTTAACGTTAAACTAGTGTGAGCTTATCTGTCCACAGAGAGACGACACGCCGCGGAAGCATTTGAGCTGATGCTCAATTAAGAAGTCTGCACTATCAAAATGAAAAAAGCGAGCTTAAGACACATACAAAAATAGGTTACTTACGAAAAATATTGAATTGGAACAACCAAATAAAACTTTGGACGAAGCACCGCTTGAACATTTCATGTTTACAACACATCCACAATTATTTAAACGTAAAATATTTTGACAATATTAATCTCCACAATAGCGATATCGTTGGTTTTTAGTATGAGAATGAATGAGTCGATGAATAGATGCGCCAGTTTTAGGGAGATACGCTCTGATGAACAGGTGGGGTGATATGTAATTAGGAGTCAGTTTTGTTTAAAATTGACGCATGAGTTGTTCTTTAGTATTCGAGGGCTTTGAGACCCTATTGCGTATACTTCCTATAAAATTATACACAAAGTATTTCAATACGTACTTCAAAGGAAAATAAAATATTCATTTTCATACAAAGAGCTAAATTTTACAGAATTTTAAGTTTTCAGATACTTTATTTTCATCTACAAAATTTAATGAAACATTATTTAATATGCGTAGTACATTTTTTCTTAGCTCATTATTTTTATTATTATTTAAAGTAAAAATACACCAAGAATTGTTATATACAACGAGCCGAGTTAAAAGTCGATATCCTTTTTGCGGAATCCACCGCAAGCAGTCGACGGCGTTGCAGTTATATCGTCCTGCTCTCTCTCACTCGTCTCTTCAAGTTCTGTAAAATTACATACATAAATAGCTGTTACCGTTAATAACTATTATAAAAAAAAAAACTAATAAATACTTGGACGGGTCTAGTGTTAAGTGGTTACCGAAGCCCATAGACATCAGCAATGCCAGGGGAAGAGCTAAGCCGCTGCCTACCGCAAACCTGGCTGTGACTTTGGTATAGCTTACGTTCCTGCACGAAGATATCCACTCACCATCCGGTGTATCATATACCTGCCTGCCTGCCTACAAAGCCATAAAAAACACTAGACTTTGATAGCCTTGTTTAAATGGTAATTGCTGTCCAAATTACCTGGTGGAATGTGTAATTTTTCAATGACGAACTTCTTCCTCTTTAGCTTGAATGCTAAATCAAGACTGGGCGGCACGAATGGTACGAGTGTATACAGCGCCGTTAATTTTGTAATGTGAAACAGTCCGTGGTAATCTTTGTAGACAGGGTTTGTTTCTTTTTCGGAGCCAGCAAACGATTCAATCCTTACTGCATTATGAGCCGAGTACAGAACTTTTTTCATAATGATTGGATCCTGATAATAAAATGTCGTTTGAGTGCTACAACTATTTGAAACTAAAAGTGTTCTTAATAATAATAGGATCAATAATGAAAATTGCATTTAATGAGGCAGAAATGTTTCAATGGTCAGTAATTAGTTTTGTATATATGTATTTAAATTATTCACAAAAATTTAGACTAACAATATAAATAGGTATATACGAGTAAATTAAATAAAGTTCGTATTAGAATCATTCCAGGCACCATCACCCTTCAGTGATCTTCCCTTTCAAATATTACAATAAGAATGAAGCTCAAATAGATTATTTTTTTTAACAGAAGGAATCATGACATTAAAAAGCTAAAGATGTTTTTTTTATTATTGCTTATAATATGGGCTAATATGGGCGAGCTCACAGTCCACCTGGTGTTAAGTGGTTACTGGAGCCTATAGACATCTACAACGTAAATGCGCCACCCATCTTGAGATATAAGTTTTAAGGTCTCAAGTATAGTTACAACGGCTGCCCCAAATTCAAACTGAAACGCATTCCTGCTTCACGGCAGAAATAGGCAGGGCGGTGGTACCTACCCGCGCGGACTTGCAAGAGATCCTACCATCAGTAAATTACGCAAATTATACTTTTGCGGGTTTGATTTTTATTACACGATGTTATTCCTTCACCGTGTAGCCAATCGTGAACATTTATTGACTACATTGTATATTATTTCATTAGAAAAATTGGTACCCGCCTGGGTTTCGAACACCGGTGCATCGCTCAACATGAATGCACCGGACGTCTTATCCTTTAGGCCACGACTTCAAATTCGGTTCACAATTCAGTCATGATTGTAATTGTATGAAGTAAGGAATGTGATTTTCGGTGGATTCTGCTATGCAATATCAAATCGAATTGAATTTCAATGTACTTACCTCATACAAATGTGATGGTATAGTGATGAACACAGCAACATTTTTGTCTCTAATTAATATCCTTAAATAGTACATGAACATTATGAGATCTCTTCCATAATTTTGGAACTCGGTATCATCAGAATCCATCGCCATCCATATAGGGGAACCCAATGAATGTATAGCAAGTCTGAGCATGTTTGTACCGCTACTTCTTAATACAGTTTCGTAAATATTTCTTAGCAATTTGTGAAACAAAGCACTTTTTAATTTCCCTGAAAATAAATTTACATCTTCAAAATTTATTTTTTTATTGCTTAGGTGGGTGACTAACCACACAACGCACACATCCCTATTGGTTAGTCTTTGTGGGTCTTTGGGGGGCATGCATGCAGGCAGAGCGGCAGAGACGCCGCCGGCTGACCACCTAGCTTCCAGAAAAAGTCCATCCTTCAGTAATATAGACAAGTGTTTAATTGCTTTTACCTCAATTACTTATCTTTAAGTTAATTGTTTATTGTTCTCACATAATTAAACTATACCTTATACTGTGCTAGTTTTAATTCGTTATAACCATTATAATTAAAATTAAACTTTTTATAATCAAAAGAGGGAATAATATATTAAATATACCTCTGCGCATAGTCGTTTGCCAGCTTAAAGTACTGTCTTGCCAAGTTGTAGTACCATACTGGATTTTACTCTTTTCTATTGTGTCAGCATCAATGTATCTGCTCAAGTCAAAGTTATGTCCAAAATTAGTGTTGCTGCCAAATGATGATTCAACTTGACTAAGGCCTTCATATCTCCAGGCTATTTTCATTTTTTCTGCATCAGTACTTGGCGCTTTTTCATCTTCTGGAGGTAAAGCACATGGTTGAGGGAGTTCTGATGTCTGGAATTGATATTTTAACAAAATTTTTACTAAGATTTACTAAATTATGTTTATTTATTTATATAATTATATAATTACACTGCAGTCTCTAAATTTTGAAAGCATAATTATGAAGAATAGCATCTCTGACACGATGTAGTAAAAAATTGTATTAAATATACTTTTTTACAACATTTTAAGATTATTCAAACAAAACCAATAGGATTATTAAGTTGTTAAGTTTTAATAAGCTCCTTAATTTTGACGTGTTTTGTTATGACATAATTCAAGAAATTAATGAATGGAATGCCTAGAATATGCAAGAAGATAATTAATCAAAATATGTGGACACTTTGATGGCTCTACAGTGGATGTGAATATTAATTTTGTACTTTTATTCTCATTTTATTAATTTTTTTTTTGTTTATTCTTAAATTGAATACTTTATCACAGTATATCTGGCTGCTTCCAAACTTTTGGATGCATGTATGTTGTATATGTATACTCCAGATGTGCATGATATTTATATGACCTTTAACATTTATCACTAATTTGGTTACATTTGTAAATACAAATCTGTGATTTTTTATATAAAAGACAGACAGCCCAGGCCCACAGTGTAAAGATGGGTAGTAGTACTTATGCTGTGATATTAATTTTGGTAATAATTAAGCCTCGTGTGCACAGTGAGATTTTCTACTCATCTAAGAAAAAGTAATAAACATTGACTAACTATTTTGTGTGGGTCTTCATCTAAAGATGTAACAAATAATTCATGGTCACAAGCTACACCCTCTGCTATGAAATATTTGAATAACACTTTGCTGTACACACCAAGGACATCTTCCTCTGAAAAGTAAATAAGGTAATTGAAGTCTGTTGGACGGTTACATTTGAGGGGATTGGGTTCTGTAGGTGATGAGGGGCTATTTATAAACACAACAGCTTCATTATAATTATATTGCAGATAGCTTTAACACTTTTACACCATTATACAATTTTTATCTTTATATTTTTTATAAAACTATTACATGTTTTTCATGCCATGTCTAGATGAGAAGTAACTGACATTTTCTTACGAGAATACAATGTTCTGTTTTTTAAAACATTTAAAATAATTCCAATATTCGAAATCTAATCAAGTGTCAAGTGTTGCCTGCCATTACATTTAATATACAAACTCCAACACACCCCCTCAACACTTGCACACATTTTTCTCCGTCTATAATTTAATACCAAAAAAGAATAACGCTAACCTGACCTTCATAAATTAATTCTTTCCATACATACCTAAAAAACCTNTGCGGTGCACGGAGTTTACGGGTAGGCCTTGTTCGAGTAGGTCGGCCTTTACGAGCTCGGCATCTAACTCCTTGGGGATGCCACGTATGACTGCACGGAGCTCACGCTCCTCCTGGAGCGTATACGTATGATAACTTATACGCTCCTTTCGGAGGTAGCTTGAGAGGGCTCTATGGTCGTCGGGTGTTGCTACTTTTATCTGTATCCCGTTCGCGAGGTTACGGGTACTGACAAAATTTATGTTCTTGGCCTTAAGGGCCAGGGAGACACGGTCCCAAGCAGCCTTCTCTTGAAGAATTAACGGAGGAGGGGCCTGATTTCTCGTTTGTGCCACCGGGCGCGGCGACGGCGTGGTACGGGGACAGGGAGCGACGGGGGTTGGAGCGCGGGGGCGCGACGCGTTCGCGGCTTTGCTTATTTTAGCGGCCGCGGAAGCTCGGGACTCCGCGGCGCGCTTCTTACCCTTTTGCACGAGGGTGAATCCATCTGTCAATGAGACGGGAACGAGGTCAACCTCCATATCCGAATCAGAGTCGGAGGACGAGGAGGAAGGCGCGGGAGCGGCGGACGCGACGGAGGCCGCAGACGATCGCTGAGGTAGAACGGAAGCTGCCGCGGTAGACGCGGGAGTTTTTCGCGGGAGTATGGGGGACACGGGTGTGCTGGGCGCGACGAAGGCTGCGGTGTACGGCGCAGGAGTTTTGCGCGCGCTTGCAGGGGACGCGGGAATGGCAGGCGTGGCGGAAACGGCGGGCGCGGCGGGCATGGCAGAACAGTTCACGGCACGTTTAGCTTTTTAAGCTAAAAATTCTGTTTCGAGGGCCGGGTATTTCTCGCTTAAGAATTCCGCGAGCAGTGTGTTGGTTGGAGAGAACTCCATTTCTTCGGACTGCCCGGGGGGGGCTGCCCCGGGACTTAAACACGCGCTCGCCTTGCGGCGAGGCCCCTGCGTCGGTAACACTAAATTGGCCGAAGCGATTCTAGGAATTTTAGAAATTTTAGTGAATAGAATAAATATAATAAAATTAGAGTGAATAGAACCACTGCACAGTTCCCGGGCGGCAATGCCTTGCAATTACGCGCAGGTACAAATTCCGAGAAACACTTGGGCCACAGATGTGTCACGAACAATGATCTATTATCACCGGTAGTCACTTCCGACAAAACACTTGAACGCCAGATGTGCCACGAACCGAGGTCGGGCGATCGAACGAACAATGAGCACGTCCACGCGCGTCGGTTGCTCAAATCGGAATGACCTATGCATGTGTGTGTGTGTCAAATACATGGTAGTGTGTGTGTAATGTTTTTTTATAGATTTAATGTATTTTCATGCATAATGAAAAAAATATTAATATTTTGCACTCCTTTTTTATAGTCTCTATAAGTGTGGGAAATTTCATACTCCGCGCAGTTTTCGTAAAAAGGGGTACAGAGTTTTTGCTTCACGTATTAATATATAGATTTGCGTTGGGCCATTATAAATCACAATCGTCTAAACATACATATTTTCCACTATATTAATATTAGTATGGAAATCATTATATTTATTTAACTATTTATAATACATTTATGTACACAATAATAATCGCTATGAAATAAAATAAAAGCTGTAAAGGGTGCTGATTATTTGAAAAGGAACTCAAAATAAAATCGAATAATTACAGTATTTTGATCATGCTTGAGGCCAATCACAATTTCGTCATTTCGTTCGTTATCGTTCATTACGTCTACTCAATCACACCGTAATGGTACATCTACCATCATCTCTTTGTTTTTTTTTTTTTCTTAGTTTGGTGGACGAACTCACAGCCCACCTGGTGTTAAGTGGTTACTGGAGCCCATAGACATCCACAACGTAAACGCGCCACCCACCTTGAGATATAAGTTCTAAGGTCTCACGTATAGTTACAACGGCTGCCCCACCCTTCAAACCGAAACGCATTACTGCTTCACGGCAGAAATAGGCAGGGTGGAGGTACCCACCCGCGCGGACTCACAAGAGGTACCTACCTATTTCAAAACGAACTCAAAATAAAATCGAATAATTACAGCGTTTCGATCATGCTTGAGGCCATTCACAATTTCTCGTTATGTCTACTTAATCGTACCGTAATGGTACATCTACCATAAGCTCTTTTGTTTATTTTGACCCAGAAAGACTAACACCCACCCTCGTTTGGTTAAGTACACAAAGCAATTTTGTAAAATATAAAGTAGTCGGTTCCCTGTGCCAAATTTACTTTGCAAATTTTCTTTTTTTTACATCATAGCTACAACCTGGTGTTCCTGTCGGTAACGTACGTATTACCAATGGCGGTAATGGTGTGGGCTTACGCGCAAATGAGCGCTGCCCTCACAGGGAGGGCCATTGGAGAATGCACACTGCATCAGATGCAAGTCGTCAGGGCTAAGCGGAAGGTAAAGTTTCAAACATTTATAAGTAGTAATTTCAACAGTATTCATTTAGGTTTCGCGAATTTTTTTTTTTTTTTTTTCAAAATCGGTAAATGAATTAATTTTATGTTGGTGGGTAATTTTCATTAATTCATTGTGGATAGCTAATAAGTACTTTTGCACATCCTTTATAAAAATATATTGGTTTTTCTTAATCATTTACAATATATTCACGATAATTTCATACAAAGCTTTACCATAATATTATTACTAATATTAAAACTGAGTTGTCGTTGTTTAAGCCTCTGTATGTATCTAGGCATGTACCGATTAAATAAATACGTACCTAAAACATGTTCACGAACAAAGAACATTTTACAATATTTTATGGTATAATATCAACTAGAGGTCCCGCAGTAGTCGAAATTCGACTATAATTAATTGGAATTGTAAGTTTGTACACTATTATGATTGTATTTTAAACTTCTATAATCACAAATTTCGCCAAGGCTAAACTATAAAAAAAATTTAATAAAGACAAACAATATTTAATCTATTCTCATTTTGACCACAGACGTCAAGAACATAAGTTTGGCAATAAATAGTATGCATGCGTGTGTGCGTCAAATACATGGTATGTAGTGTGTGTAATGTTTTCTTTATTGATTTAATGTATATTTTATGCATTATTTTAAAAAAAATTTAGCATTGTGCACTTCTTCCCTATATTCTCTATAAGTATAGAAAATTTCATACTCCTCCGTCCGCGCAATTTTCGTAAAAAGGGATACAAAGTTTTTGCTTCACGTATTAATATATAGATAATACCAGCAAAGTCATATTTAGTTACTAGTGGCAGGGATTTTCAACCCGTATAAGTAAGTTTCACCATCTTAATTAATTCTGCACCGAAGCAGTCATACATTCCGGCTAGAAGGGTGTGTGGCCGCTATTATGCTATATAATTGAGACTCCAGACACCCTCGTGTCTCAAGGTAGCGCATTCTCGTTGTAATGACTAAAAGTTCCTATGGCCTCTAAGGTCTGCCGTGAGCCAATTTCACAAGTAAACATAGCGCTAATTACTGTTTCGAGTAATTTAGGTGCCCATAGTACTTCATCGTACTTTGTTTAATTATAATATCGAGCTTGAAGTACTAAAATCCCAGACCTTGAATAAAAATTCTCCGAGCCGAGCCGAGCCGAGCCGAGCCGAGCCGAGCCGAGCCGAGCTATAGCATGTTACGTTTATAACGTAAAAGCTTTGAGCTTTGGTAATAACGAATGAAGTTGTATGTTTCAATTTGGACTGCAAAATTCAAATTCCAATTCAAATTGGATTACGAAAATTGATTAATAAATTTATAAATAAAGTAGCGACGATGAAATTAATTTGATTTGTATAATGTTAGTGATATTATTAAATTTCGATCATTGAGAAACCGTAGTATAAATAAAAAAAGGTTATATTACACATATATCTTGACATTATTAATAGCCAATTTCCATGATTGTTGAACTTTTGAAATTATTAATTTTAAATTGTAATTAATTGTAAAATAGTGTATATAATTATCTTTACATCTGTATATTGTATTTTAATAATAATTATATTAACAAATGTTTATACGATATAATCTAAAAATCACATTTTAGAGGTAGAAGGACCACGAACCACACACCAAACCGCAATTTATAAAACTTTGATCCCTCCTCATACTTTTTATACTATGTTATATAATATTTATTTTAATAGAAATTTTCACATTTAATTTTTTTTTTTTTTTTCCAAATAGGATTATGGTGATGATCTTATTGTAAGTCGACAAAAAATCGATTCACATTCGAACAATATTTGCGGCTACGTATAAATGCCTACATTATATTAAATACAGCTAATTAATTACGACTTAATTGGCTAAATGAAGTCTGAACGCGTATCAGGTTTCCTAAACTTTCTGTTGTTCTCAGAATTTAAATTAAGCGGGAGATTGTTATCTGACCGCGAAATAAATTACCTTTCATTTCTGGTGATGCGAAATTAATATTTTGTAATTTAATTCAAAACCATTACGACATGATTTTGTGTTTACTTTAATTCTAGAAGCTGTATTTAGATGATTAAGCTCTTCACGAATAAAGTAACTTCGTAGCAAGTATTGCGATTCACGATAACAATAATAATTACTAGACAATTTTTTTTTCTAAGCCGCTTCAAGATTCTCAGAATCATATTAGTCACTCCAATAAGTTACTTATAAGTGACTCTCCAAACTTAATAAAAGGAATATTAAATTAAAATATTATTTATAACCCAAAACAAAACAAAGATTAAGCCTCACAGCAATATTATTAAAAATAATCAGAGTTGTTATGATTTTTTTTTATTTTTTTTTATTGCTTAGATGTGTGGACGATCTCACAGCCCACCTGATGTTAAGTGGTTACTGGAGCCCATAGACATCTACAGCGTAAATGCGCCACACACCTTGAGATATAAGTTCTAAGGTCTCAGTATAGTTACAACGGCTGCCCCACCCTTCAAACCGAAACGCATTACTGCTTCACGGCAGAAATAGGCGGGGCGGTGGTACCTACCCGTGCGGACTCACAAGAGGTCCTACCACCAGTAATTNCCATAGACATCTACAGCGTAAATGCGCCACACACCTTGAGATATAAGTTCTAAGGTCTCAGTATAGTTACAACGGCTGCCCCACCCTTCAAACCGAAACGCATTACTGCTTCACGGCAGAAATAGGCGGGGCGGTGGTACCTACCCGTGCGGACTCACAAGAGGTCCTACCACCAGTAATTACGCAAATTATAATTTTGCGGGTTTAATTTTTATTACGTCACGATGTTATTCCTTCACCGTGGAAGTCAATCGTGAACATTTGTTAAGTACGTATTTCATTAGAAAAAATGGTACCCGCCTGCGGGATTCGAACACCGGTGCATCGCTAGATACGAATGCACCGGACGTCTTATCCTTTAGGCCACGACGACTTCAAATCGAAATTCAGCATAGGCCGTAAATTAATAATCTGTAGTGACCGGTGACTACCAGTTTGATTATTAAACTGTTTCGGAACTAGTAGGGCTATACCGGTATTAACAGATTGGCTGATAGGATTAGGCAAAGGGAACTGTAGTCAAACTATTCAGTGCGGTTGAGATCGATTTTCCGAATTTGCTTACGAATAAATCCTCGATTGGTTGCTTTGAAGTCACTAGTGGAACATTTCAATTATTCTACAACTCGGATTAATAGAGTACTAGCAATGTTATATCAGTTCTTAGACACTGTGATTGTCAACCGATATTAGTTTTTGATTAATAATACGAGTACAATCAATAATATTAATTATTCGATTGAAATGATTTATATCTAACTTAACTCAAATATAGTAGCTATGTATATAAGGAATAATATATTATATTCTAGATAGAATTTAAAAAACAAAAAAAAAAAATGAAATTAATGTAAAAATTTGCTAAATGCCTTACAATGTCCTTTTACCAATACAACCGAGACGGCAGTTTAATTTTTTTCAAAATTATCGGGTATAGGCAATCACCACGTGATATCTATAAAATCCAGTAACCTTCCAACATAAGATCGATTGCAGTAAATCTGCCGTAAATAATTGAAAAAAAAAGTTCCCTCATTCGTTAAACCTCTAAATGCTTTCTCCCATCCTTAATTTTTTTTTATTTCCGTGTAGGCTAACGAGCATTCGGCCTACCTCATGGTAAGTGGTTACCATCGCTCATGGATATCAGCAATGCCAGGGGCAGATTCAAGCCGCTACCTACCGTTAAAATTCATCTGAATGAGTTTTTTTTCAGTAGCTGTTGAGATTGGCAGGTACATAAACTCTCATCTGAAAACGATAGGTAATAGTTTAAATCTAAACGTAACATTATATTTTTGGCGATTATAATCGCACCAAAATATGGCACAGTTTAAAACAGTTACAGTAAATATCATTGGAAATAGCCACGCTACGCTACCTCGATTATAAATGTAAATTTAATATGTCAACGTCAGAACGGCGTCATAAAGACAATTAAGGGACAAAGATCCAACTGCAGCGTTCTCTCAATATTACACCAAAATACTGCCCACGCAGATACCGGTGACCGGTATTTTGGTCAGAATACGACGTATTGTAAGTCTACATGGGTAATATCCTTTTGGGATTTTTCCGCTGTAATGGTCGGCTATCTAAATCGAAGAACGCGACTGCCATTTTCCAATTAAATTGAGGCACCCACTCCTAATCTCGGAGTGGGTAGACAGCATTCAAGTTATGATGACAATGAGCTCCGATATAATCCTTAGCGTATCTAATCTAAACGTATATTATATAAAGTAAATTTGAAACATTTTTCCCGTATAAAAAGACCCGTTTTATGTTAGAAGCTTTTTTTCTGGGACTTAACGGTATCGATAATAATCCCGCGGAGAAATGACGACAAATCGATTGTCACTGCGGACGTACTCCTATATCATCTGTCACAAGTCTAATCTCGAGTCTGTTTCATAGGAAAGTTCGCAAGCCTAACTTTCGCAAGTAAGCCGATTGTGGGGGTCTCATTAATGTACGAAGCTCCCGTTATAGCATTCTAACTTATAGAGTCTCATTACAAGAATGCTATTAAAATGCTATTGTTCAGAGTAATCACGCGCTACGTAGATTGTAAATTAAAACAAATTGAACAAAGAGTTTTCAGTCTTTTCCACGAGATTTATCTATATTAAATTTGGTATAATTAAAAACTACTTTTGCGGTGTAATCTCCCCCTTTCTATTATCATTATATTATTTCCGATGCTTCGAATACATTAGAGTTTTTGTGGTAACTAAGGTCGTCCTTAAAAGTAATTTTATTTATAATAGCCCTTTTTTTACTTATGAAGTGGCTGTCTTACGATATTGACCGTTTTAAACGTAATTTACATATTATGTATGGCTGTAAAAAATTCAAAATTTAGATGAATTTTTTTTTTTGAAGGGA